GTGTAGTTTGTGGTGGTCCTCCAACCATCTCGCACGCGCCTCTGCCGCTGTCAGCTGCAATCAGCGGAGTTGTTTCTCCTTGTGGTGCGCCAGGAAGAGAAGTGAGCTGCTGCGTCCCGGGGACATAATGGATATCATCGCTTTCCCTATCGGACTGTGACACGGCAGTAGTTTGCCACGGTTCACTCGATGAAACGTTTTCCGTGGTGCTATAAGTTGCCATTACTATGCGACAAACAAACTCTCTATCTACAGCTAGCTATAGCTACCGGCAGTGTCGTTAGCTCAGTCTCGCGAAAAAATTTTGTGCCTCACTAAAAATACGTACGGGTACTCGTAAAATCTTTGGCCTGATTTTCCGGTAGATTATGACAGAGATGATAATTATAGCTAAGCTTGATAATTGCATCAGCCATTTTATTATGAATAGCTGCTCAGTCTTGCCACGCTGCAAAAGTGATCCCAAGAGAATTCACACCAATCTCACATGATCATTGCATGATCATGACTCAGCAGACACACTATGAATCTCCCACCACTGAACTTCTTTCTATGAACACATTCTATGGCAATTGTACTGTGAGTTAAAATTGATGAGTTTCACAAACAAGTTTCTGTACTATTGAACAATACGGCAAAAATAAGTGAAATTAACAGCACATTTCTGAACACTTCTGAATGAATATGCAGTATTGTGACTAATTGATCAGAAATGTATTATAAAATAGAATATCCATGGTAAAAATAGAACGTGTTTATGTTCATTCTTAGCCAATAGCCTATTCATGCATGCAGTTTTGTATAGCTAGCCATATTATTGTGACCTGCAATCTGATCTAAATATGAGAAGCAAAGATTGAGTCTAGTTAGGTATTTGCTACATACTGACAATCTGAAATAATACTTCAGCAACACTGTCAATACATCAACATGCAAGTATATACAAGGATCAATTCATACAAAGAGCAAACCATGAATAACTGACAGTGACTCAGCGTTAACTACTAATATGCATTGTGTGCAAAGTTAGTGGCATCACTGACAGCAGTACTTGTATAGCTATACACACAGTATACAGACAATGATATAAAAGCAACTAATGCAGGTAGCTCCAAAGTAGCGAAAGGTATTAGAGCTATCCCAATCGCATATTTCTTGTTAACAGTTACTTTATAGGGACTGGAAAACTCAGTATTAGTAACCGCCACAGACACTAAAACTTGCTTCGTTGAAGTTTGAGAAAACAGTGAATTAGCAACAACACACTCACGTGTCGTGTTGATGGCTCTGACAACAAACAGTCGTGTGATTGTCCGAGTGAAGCTTTATCAAAGTACAGTTTTGATAGGCGGTATTCACGACTAGTGCAGACATTCTTACTCTCACTCAGTAAGGTTGAAACGACATACCAATAATACCCACTTTTGTGAATCACAAAGTTGTTGGGTGGTTTCTGAATTTGCTGGCACTCTCCTTTTTTCTCAGCCTCAATCACATTTTTGTTGGTATCAGCTTTATCTACAATACTCTCATAGTCAGCTAACGTTGAAAATTGCCATATCTTTGCCGAAGCTGAATAGTTGGATGGATTCTAAATGGAGAAATTTAATTGGATACGAGAGTGTTTTAGCAGGTAGTTCTGATGGCTGTTATTGACTATCAAGACCTGTGGAAATGAGAAGTTTTTCGGCAAGGATGACTCAGCATAGATTTCCTCTCGGATTTCTGGACGCTCGACGTAGTAGACTGTAATTTGTGCTTCATCTTCATTCACTTCTCTGGCTGATGTTTCTTGTTCATAGGACACTGTTAGTTGATTGTACCAAACTCCAGAGACTCTGTCGACAAGGACAACATCATTTGGAAATGCAGGAGCACTTGAAGACGACTTCTTGGCTACAACACCAAAGACAGAAGTAAATAACAACAGTGCAGCAAAGGAGATCAGTAGAGACACGATTACACGTGTTTTCGTAGAACACCCACACATCACCCGTATCCCATTAACTATGATAAAAACATTTGAAATTATACTTACAGTCAACGGTACTATTAAAAACTTACCATTCCTATTTTCGTTTACATTGATGGATTCATTTTCTCCCGAAACCAACTGAGATGTTGCTAATGTTTGAATGTGCACCATTAGCGAAAAGATATGTAATTTTTACTGGCATATAATTATACATACCTGACATTAAAGGGGTTGTCTCACTAATAGGTTCTACTGATGGTTGCTGGTTTGGTGTAATGACTGGTCTATAGTCACTTTCACCAAGAGTTGGGTTTAAAGGCCTTGGTTGAGCTTCCAGTTGTGTAGGTGGTTCTCTTATACCTGCAAGATATTTGTTACTGTAGAAATACAGGAGTTACAGAAAGTATTACAGCTACCTACCATTGTTTTGGTTCTTACTGCGTTTATCTCTAAATGAGCCAGGAACGACTTCTGAAGCGGTATGTGATCCACCGGCGCTGGCAGCAATCGGTCTTGTGCTTAAAGTCGTTTCATCGCTGGGAGAAATTAGTTCTTGCTGTTCTTCTTGATAGATAGACATGCCTGTGTGCGAGCTAGGCCGGCTAAGACAATACTGACGACGCGACGGACTGATGCGCAACGAGCATGCGCATTCACCCTTCGACGACACACCCTTATATTATAATAACTACGTGTGGGTTGCGAATGTGAAAGTTTGGGCAGACGGAGTTCATCGATCAGGATGGCTTCTAGTGTTGCAGAGCCAGAGACCGGAGGTAGAATTAAACACTAGTTAAATTCTGTGTAGCTAAGCTTTTTACCTTCGACAGCAAATGGTTCTACTAACGCCCGCCATCAGCAGGCAGAAATGGTTCTGCCACGTTCCAGTGCTATAAAGCCTTTTCCAATTGGTAAAGAGTTACATTATATAAGTTGGCAATTTTACCATCAACAAAACTATTATGCATAGGCCAGCCTGGACAACAGGATAGTAGTCAAAAGAGAAGTAAACCAGGGAGAGAAGAGGTCCAACAATCTCCACAGACACCCAGGATATCCACCAGTAATTTTACCATGACTCCTGCTTTGGTGTAACTAGTTGGTGTTTTTTTATACTTACCTAGGCGATATTCATGCCTCAGATTCAGTTAGCAGTCCTCCTCCTGCAATTGCCAGATCCAAGTAAGTGTCGACACATGTTGGTAACTAGACCCTTTACAGTAGGCGTGGCTAAATGACGTACTCGCCAATGTCGAAGGACAACTGTACGTATGCTATTACATAGTAAATGACGATCGTTCTGCTCAAAGGAGAAGGCAGAAACAAGCACAAGTCGTTTAGATGATTTAGCTGCCGTAAGAAGTCATCAGATGGCAGGCGACAGCAGACTCCGCACTGCTAAGGCATCACAATGATTCTTTGTAAGATTAGTTGCACACAATTTCCTGTCTCCTGTCTGCATTCCACCGTCTAACTTCTGATCATTGTCTTCCTAACCTTCGCTGCTTAGCTTGCCTTTCCTTTGCCCGCTTGTGAATCAAGTGTGGATCATGTCATCTTCCAGGTTCAATGACGAAATCCAGTCAGGACTCTTCTCATCATAGCTGACTTTGTGTGCCACTGGTTGGTAGCTATAATTATATAGGGCGTTTTTTCTTGACCAATGGTTCTCGTTCACCTACAAACGCCAGGTAAGTATAGTAATGCCCCTCCCCCCCCCTGATGCCTTTTGACGACAGCTAAATAAAATTGTTTTCTGCCTCATGGTTTCAGCTGCCAAAACATGCACAATCTTCATTTACAGCATATGCATGGTTGTCCTCCGATATGGCAGGCACATCATTTGGCCACTCCTACTGCAAAGGTCCATATCCACTGTAGCAATGTAGCTATGCTCTCACTCCTAATGAATACAAAAGATAGATCGAAATTTATGCAAAATTATACTGTTCTGCAAATATGAATTTAGTTGAAGTGTTATTCTTAGGACAACTATGGACCTATAACATTCCATCCACAGTGCAATGTTTGTGTAAATAACCTTTGAACCACTCTTATGCATATAGACCTTGAAAACATTAACACTTTGCTAGCCATTGTGTGGTACCTGTCCCGGACCAGATACTCAAATGGCAACCACTATAGAGCCATAGCCACACTATTTTATATACCCAGTGCAGATCACCATGCATACATAAATTAAGATGAGTTTCTGGTGTAAATTTTATGGCAAGCAGAAATTTTTTTAGTAAGAGAAGTCCCACGGAGATGGTATATCTGTACAAAAGTGGGTTGTGTTTTTATATTCTGCTCCCAAGGACATTATATCACAAGTTTTATTTTGTAGCTACAATGGAAAAAGGATTTTAGCAATACCGACGAGTTATTGTGCACATTAGTATGAATTTTAGATGTACCGTTTTATGAGTGATACATTTGCTGCTGTGTAGGTAGTGCCCTGCAGTGCCAACTAAACCACAGTACTAATGAAAAGCACTGAAGTGCAAACCCTCGGCGCATTGTGACGCGCACGCGTAAGTAAACGCATGCGCCGTACCACTAATTGATGGGCTGGGTTTAGTTTTAGCTGTTACTCGTGGTCTCTTCCCAGCTCGCGCAGAGTCTGACGCGGGCTAACTACACTACTAGATAGCATGCGAGAGGCGATACACGCCCTGCGTTGCATCTTCTGGTGCCTCTGAGGTACGCAGAACACGCGGATCGATCAGACCGTGGTAAGCCATCCCGTCCGTTGCCTATTTGCATATTGGCTTTTTCGCGCTCTAGCTCTGCAACGGAGCAGTTTCAGAGAAAACCCCACATATTTTCTGACCTTCATTGCCCGTTCAGTAGGTGGTATCCTTTGTGAGACGAACGAACACTCGAGAAGTGAGATGACGAGTAACAGACAGACAGACAGACAGACAGACAGACAGACAGACAGACAGACAGACAGACAGACAGACAAACCCAACTACCGTAACCCTCGCTGCGCATGCGCGCCGAGGGTTAATAAAGTTGGACTCTGTGTCATCTGCAGCTGCACAAATCCAAAGCACGGAGAACCAATTGTTGGTTGTACGGCTCCTGACAAAATGAGCAAATGTTTTGGGAATGATCTTGGTTATTCAGTTATACAAGTTCCCTCCGACGCACTGTCAAGGTCTAAAATGGATCAACTTTTGCGGGATTTGGGAAAGGTAAAGATGCCGAAACCACCCGAGGAGCCTTTCCGATTCTTTTTTTATTTCTTTGGTCATGGCAATAGCACTGAGATATGTCTCAATGACGGCAATTTTGAGCGTTCAAGAATTATAAAAGAGATTCAAAAAATAGATCGAAATTTATGCAAAATTGTACTGTTTGACAGTTGCCGGTTAGCTAGAAGCTCTCAAACTGAGGAAAAGGAGCAATACCCTAAAAGTGTCAATACCCTTGTTATTCATGCAAATGAGTACAAAAGTGAAGCGTTCTACTCGACAAGTGATAAATTTCCTGAAATGAAAGGATGTGGACTGGTGACTTACTTTTTCACAAAGTTGGCCCCAATAAGGAATGAGCCACTCTCTGCTGTTCTAACAGAAGTTCGACGAAATGTGGATGATTTTACGCATGAGAATACCGCAACTGCTAATTATCACCAAATGCTTGTTTTTGAAGATCGCCTCATGTAAAATGTTAACCTGTTAGCCGAGAGCAAAGGACAAGGTAATTGGCAAGAAGTTTCGTGAAATATCAGGGGCTGATTATTTGTTTGATAGCATCTAGATTGGTAAATTTGTTGTGCTAGGAATCTACAAAGAGGTTTTGCCCCTAGATCTACTCAACACCACGCACCAGCAGTGTAAACCATCTATGTAGTAGTAGAAAGAAACTTCATTGCAAGCATTTGCAGTAATAGAAAGCGAGTTATTTTTGCAAGCATTTGCAGTTCTTTAAAGGAAACAAGGAAGTAGCTACATAAGGGCTACATTTTACTAAAACATGTATTCTGACACTGGGCCCTATCGTTTAGTTCCTTAGCCCTTATGTACCGCCAAATCCCTGTGATCACACAATACCCTAGTAATAATTTTTTTACTGCTTTTTCATAATTCTCACTGTATTCATTAATTTGCTACAGAACGCGTCAAGCCTTCAATTGTACGTATCAAAACAACAGCTTTCGTCACAACTGTACAATGAGTATTTCGCTTGAATGTTGATAAAAGAATCAAGAGCTTCCGAGTAAAGTGTCAAGATGATAATGGTCAGAATGTGGACATACAAGATGTTTTAACATTGAAAAATGTTGCCGAATTCAAAAATGAGAATCTTCTACCATATACAAAGTATTTTGTACGAGTTCTAGCTCTTTACGAGGATGAGTTCGAATCAGAGAGTGAAGAATCATCCTTCAAAACATGTGGTAATGATAATATTAAAGCAAGCAATAAAGTTTCTTTTAATGTTTGCATGAAAGTTAAATCCTCCTTAACGATAATATTATTTTAAGTAGCTAAATGGGTGTAGCTAAATTTCATCCTCCAGTTGGTTTTTAATGTGAGAGAAAAAAGCGTATTATTATGAGGAACTAGACTTAGCGAAGCACTCAGTTTATAGCAGTGATTTCCATAAGGAGATGGTGAAGAGAACTAAAATGTAGATTAAAAGAATCACTGCGTAGAAGAAAAAATTGCCAGCAGGAGGTATATACTTCGGGCACTGCATGCAAATACTCTAAAGTGCGAAAAATTAACACCACACATGCACGGGCGTCATCGTCTAAGTTCGGCAAGCCTTCTAAGTTTCGATTGTTTTGTGAAAGCTGACAAACAATACGTGTAGTTTTTTGTGCCATACTGCACCCCAGCCAGCACTGCAGAAAGTAATGCACCCAGTTTAAAGGGACATCCAAAAGCACTGAGTCTACACTTGATTTCTGCGTGACAAAGTTGGCTCTCTCCATAAATGTACTGCCTATGTGTAGCTTGTGATGTGATGTGTTGCCAGCTAGTAGGGCTGTAAGTGGATTGCAATATTTTTGTAAGGGCATCTTTTGATTCGTTAAGAAATGTGAGACTGTCATACCTACGGACTCCCCAAATGCACATTAAGTCCAATCCCCCTCTAATAATACGCAGCTGCCATATCCTTAAATACATTAACATGCAAATACATATACATTTGCTAATGGAGTTAATAATAGTATTTGCTTTGACAGGGAAAGAAGATGTTCCACATCTTCCCCCAAACTCTATTTTTCAACCAACTGGAATTATTTTGGGCCAGGGTGCCTATGGTGATGTGTTGGAGGTTTTGTACAAGGGGAAATTGTATGCAGCTAAAAAGTACCGATTTACTGCTTTTAAGGCTTTCGGGCAAGAGCATGAAATGACAAGAATCTGTTTTCATCGAAACGTTGTACCTTACTACTGTATCGGCAAATTAGAAACGGACAAATCAACAGTTGTTGTAATGGAAAGAATGGACAAAAACTTGGACACGTACCTGACACAAGGCAAGATAGCACTCCCTGTAAAGTTTCAAATCCTAACCGATATTGCAAACGGACTTAACCACCTTCACCAGCAGAATCCTGCAATAATTCACAGGGATCTTAAAGCTACCAATATACTAATGTCTTCGGACGGAGTTGCAAAAATAAGTGATTTTGGAAACTCACGTATTATTGATAGCAGTGATAAAGCTGAACTTTTGACTTCAAAACCTGGCACTGTTGATTATATGCCATCAGAAGCAGCAGATGGAAATTACGATTACACATTGGACATTTTTTCATACGGCCATCTTGCAATCTACATACTCTTACAACAGCTGCCAAAAAGACTCAAAATGGCTACTTATTATTCTGAAGGTAGCCTAGTTGCCCGGATCGAAGTACAGCGACGTGAGAAATATATAAATGAAGTTAAAACAATGTTGAAGAGTGACCGACATCCGTTTTATCTGATTTTGATAAGATGTCTTGAAAACGATAAAAAGAAGAGGCCAAGTTGCAAAGATATTTTGGACTGCACTGAAAAGGAGAAACTTATGGACCTGGAGTAGGCACCTCGTTTTGCTCCGTTCACGAACAATTATCACATAAGTAATAATTATGTTATAACACACTTAGCTAATTTTAAGTCTTTTATAATGTGTGTGCTCGAGATTGATTGCGGCTCGTGCATTGCAGCTTGAGTGCACCACGTTAAACATATCAAGTTAGCTAAGTGTCTTATAAGTGTTTTATTTCTGGTCACATGACTTCACCCCAAAATGGTCCGAAATAGGTATTCCAATGGAGGGAAACACTTTACCTCTGAGATAAAGAAACTTTCTTCCTTCCTTCCAGACTTTAGTGATGTGTGTTTCGATTGACGACTAGCTGAATGGATAAGTTAAAGCTGCTATGCATGCTATACTTTGCAACACATACCTTATTAGAACAAGTGGAAAATCATTTCTTCAAAATGAATAGGGATGGCTTCAAGCACCAAAAAGGAAGAAACAAGGGGTCATTACACACCAAATATGCACAAAGCCACATGACACCATCCCTATATCTTTGTCTCAGATTAAACTTTGCTTATGAACAATAAAACAAAGATAAGGGATGGTGTCATGTGGCTTTGTGCATATTTGGTGTGTAATGACCCCTTGTTTCTTCCTTTTTGGTGCTTCAAGCCATCCCTATATCCCTCTTCATTTTGAAGAAATGATTTATCTACGGTGGCCGACAAGTGCCATCCTTCCAATTTCCATTTCGTGTTTCCATTTTCCAAATTCACCTCCCATTTTCCATTTTGTACCTCCACTTTCTGTTCGCCATCACGCGCTGCGCACGGTCGGATGATGCTAGGCCAAGAATCGTGGATAATGGACGCACACAGAAAAAGACATGCGCCGAGCCTTGGTTGCCGATGCGGCTGAGAATACTGCCGGCCTGATTGCGCCCCTTGTCGACATTTTACTGATCCGTGAACGGAGAACGGAAGCGTGAAATGGAAGCGCAAAATGGAAAAAGGAAATAGAATTTGGAAATTGTAAGAACAAAATGGAAAATGGAAGGATGGAACCTGTCGGCCACCGTAGGATGGCACTTGTCGGCCACCGTATTTATCCACTTGTTTCCACTATATATTTTTAATGGCTTATGACAACACTGCATTTTCAGTCACTCTGATGTTCATAGGTATGTTGTCAGAAGCTAATGTACTGCTCTTACCTGAAGCAGGCGTAGTGTCTCCAACAAGGACGCGATTAGGTTGTGGCATTAATGGTGGTGGTTTCATTGGGCAGGCTTCAGAAATCAGACTACAATGATAGCCATAACCTGGGGGACAAAGAATTAATAAGGCGCCTGACAAGGCACGCGTAACACGGCGCAGATTGCCAAGTTGCTCCTCGTGCAAATCAACAGCAAAACGCAAGCTAGGCACTTACAAATGTGTACACTGACTTACAGAAGGCACTGGAGGATGAGAGTAGTTTTCTCTGCAGGCATCCAGTAGTCGCGTACGTGGACCAGACAAAATGCGCGCGCACCGCATTGGAAACGGCCTCCTCGGCGCATGCGGCTCACTGATGCTGAGTTTGCAGCGTTGTTCCTACCGAGGAAGAGCTCAACGATCTACCGTAATGACTTGCGGCAAGAAACAAACGATCGCTTGATATGCGTGCACACCTCCAGCGAAATTGGAGACGTTCAGTGAAAAAATCAGCGCTTCAACTGGTACTGGTAGGAATTGAAGAAGAAGAATACTGAAGTGCAAACGCTCGGGGAACTGCGCAAGCGCGGTACCACTAATTGATGGGCTGGGTTTTTAGTATGCGTGGTAGTGGTATCCACGCTAGTAGCTCGCGGAGAATCTGACACGGAATAGCTACAGTAGTAGATAGCATGCGGGAGTCGATACACGCCCTTCGTTGTGACCTCTTATGCCTTCAAGATACACAGAGCAAGCGGCCCGCCGGTCGAGGTTAATTAAACCCTGCTCGAACTATAAGCGCATGCACATTTTCCGCAGCGATAAAAATGGCCGACTACGCATTAGCCGTTCAATGGTGGAAGCGCTCTAGCTTTGCAACGGAGCGTTTTCAGAGAAAACCGTTCGAAATTTCTGACCTTCATTGCCCGTACAGTAGGTGGTATCGTTTGTGAGACGAAACTCGAACACTCGAGAAGAGAGATGACGAGTAACAGACAGACAGACAGACAGACAGACACACAGACCCAATGAAAAGCACTGAAGTGCAAACCCTCGGCGCACTGTGCTGTGACGCACACGCGTAAGTAAACGCATGCGCCGTACCACTAATTGATGGGCTGTGTTTAGTTTTAGCTGTCACTCGTGGTCTCTTCCCAGCTCGCGCAGAGGGCTAACTACACTACTAGATAGCATGCGAGAGGCGATACACGCCCTGCGTTGCATCTTCTGGTGCCTCCGAGGTATATACGCGGATCGATCAGACTGCGGTAAGCCGTCCCATCCGTTGTGTATTTGCATATTGGCTTTTTCGCGCTCTAGCTTTGCAACGGAGCAGTTTCAGAGAAATTTCTGACCTTCATTGCCCGTTAAGTAGGTCGTATCCTTTGTGAGACGAACAGACATTCGAGAAGTGAGATTGAGAGTAACAGACACACAGACACACAGACAGACAAACCCAACTACATAACCCTCGCTGCGCATGCGCGCCGAGGGTAAAGAAATCGCGTATGAGTTAATTCTCGCGTGGACGACTGAAGGTACGTATGAGCTCTTGGGGGACATGTATAGGTAGATGTGGGCCCGTAGACTATTGCTAGTATGTTTTGAAGGCCTACGGAGTGATTCTCACCGAGTAATTAGTCGTTTTGTAGGCGGATCACGTGAGATTTCACGTCTCATCCCTATAATTATAGATCTACCGACTCTCTGATGAGCTTCTCTATAACGATTTTGTATGTATCCAGTATTAACCCTTTGGACGCCATGGGATATGCATGAGCAGAAATTGATGTATGAAGTATTAGCGCCTAGTATTTTAACCCCCTTATAAATTCTTATTGACTGATGGAGGCTCCGGATAAATTTATGTATCCGCTATTAGAGGTTCATGATAAAATGAACATTGGTCGATTGAGCCAAATAATGATATTGCCGACTGCTGGTTCAATTGGCAATTTGACTTATCTCCTAACAAATAAGAGCAACTCAAAACTAATTATCTAGCCTATGTTTATCGTGAGATTTGAAACCGAAGCGAACCATGAACATTAGTTACGAACAGGAAGCGTACTAGCTATATACTCTCGGCTTCCGTACCTACGTCCACTTATGATATGCACTAGCATCCTAACTCTCCCAATGGTCATAATTTTTACTTACTATAAATATTATGTTCCTAGCTAGTATATAATTATACCAGTTGTGTATAATAATTATAATTTCAATTATTATGGGCATTTTTACACTTCACCACCAACAACAAAATTGCACAAACTACAAGGTCCAGGAACATAACAACACCAACTATGATAAAAAAGCCAATTGGATTTGACAGCGTGGTGGTAAAGGTGTATCTTGTCTGCTCTTGAGATGGTGGAACCGGTATAAAGGCTAAGATGCAGAAGGTGTTTTCTTTTGGGTTTGCCTTCCTCACCAAAGTAAGACCGGTGAAAATGCACTCATTATCAATGACGGAACAATCTCGTGGCTCAAAGTCACTCTCGTTGTAGAGCTTCACGTACACCACATACCAATATAAAATATTCACACTCCTTTCAGGTGAGCTTAGTGCTGATATGGCATAGTAATAGTAACCATTACTCGGCACTATGTCTATTAGTGTACCATTTGATGACTGGTCAATACTCAAGCACTTTCCCTTCTTCTCTGCTTCATTTATAGCGTCTTCGTCTCTTGCTTCAGTGAGTGCCATCAGTAACTCTTCATCATGAAAACGGCACAACTTTGTAGGAATGTTTAAATTAGAATTTAGGTCAATGCTGGTGCTAAAATTCAGCTTCGACCTTTAAAAGGTAAATTGGTGAGAGATAATCCACACTGTCAGGTGAGTGAAAGGAAGGTACTTGTCTGATGAGAAAAAAATTTCTTTTTCTGCAACTTTTGATTCGCAGTTTGTTCCAAAGTAGATTTGTGCATCTGCTTTTGCTCCTTCTTCAACGTCTTCACTTAGTTGTACTTTGTCATATAAGAAGTATGGGAAGTTCACTAGTTCAACTAGTGTTCTGGATATAGCACAGCTGGGTATCTCTTTGAATGAACACTTAAAAAAATAATGCCGCCAGTGCATAATAAAAAGATAACAGTAGGAAAGAAAAAAACCAACAAGCACTTTCTCTGACAGATATTCCTCAAACCGGTGGCATTAGAATTTGCAACCAATTCTACATCCTCTTCATCTAATGTAACGATAATGAAGTGTTGGACAATTATTTACAAATAGCTTTGGACACATCCTACCTCTATTATTATTTATGTCTTCCACTGGTGACGCATCATTGGCGTTATCTGGAAAATATCATGCATAAGTAGCTATATAAGTCAGAACAACATTATCTACGCTGTTAGTTGACAACAATTGACTGTGAGGCTCGTGCGAGATAGTGTGTATACCCCGAAGGCGCGATGCCACGACGTGCGCCTCGCAGAACCACGCCCATTATCACATGAACATCAGCGCATAGCTAAGTGGCGGAAAAATCTTTAGCACAAGAGATATGTTGTCACTCGCCTTACCGCTGTCCCACTTGCAGCTAACGTGAAACAGCAAGGCTGTATAATAGCTACGTATAATTCTGATCATGCTGCACTTTTAAAATTTTGCCGTATATATACCGTCAGTCGCTAGGTCAGTCAGCCTCGGTGCTCCAATCGCTAGCTCAGACTTTGGTTTCTCGTAGCGATCTTCATGCTGCACTGGTTTTTCTCCTACGAGACTACTCTCGTCATTATTAATTGTGCCAGCCAGCCCAGGAAAGCACCTCTCATCTTCAGAACTCATCGCCATTTTCAATTCCCCACTGCCAAACTCAAACAGACAAGCAAATATTATATAAGGACCGTGATGTCATCGCATTGGTACACGCAAGTCTTTACCTATAGCAGGGCGTTCGGATGTATATAACAGGGCGTGAGTGCGTGCTATCGAATAACAAATTATTCTGTGTATTACCAACGCTCAAGGTTAGCGTTTTAGGTTTTCTTCGCGAGTTTCGCCTTGGGTTTCAACTTTTCTGCCGTCATGGATTTACTTCCTATTCAACTGACAACAAAGGTAGGGTAGAACTCCCTCTGATGCTGCATAACTATTAATCTACACTTCAGGGGGATAAGTTTATTAATACCAATGGCAATGAAGAAAGATACTATGGAGCTATTCAAAAAAGGTTGTAATGTTGGGTTTGTGCGTATGCTTTTTACATTTTTACATTGCTATAGACAACAGAAAAAGAATATGGCTAGCAATGGGTTACACCATGGTTATGATTGTCGTACTTGCAGCATTAGCTACAGCTGCAACTGTAGCATATCAACAACACTCATCATCAACAATAAAAAGAGTAATGGAGGGCGATACAGTCCTGTTATCACGACTGAGCCCTTCTGATTTATCTCTCGAAATAACACTACAGGAAGTTTTGCAAACAGGCGATTCTAATCACGCCATTGATGCCTTTCTTGTTCCATGTAAAGCCTTGAAAAACCACTTCACTACCATCAACTTTCAGAGCAGAAATCTGACTTTGACATATCCAACGTATGAGTTTGGAGAGCAGCCAGCAAACACCCCTATATATCTCCTTGCAGGAAGCAATGTCACATACACCTTTAGAATCTGGGCCCCAATGTACCAAATCAAATCTCCAGAGTTTGTAATTTTTGACAACTATGACAGCTATTCTACTTTTGTTGCTGGTGATAACGATGAGACTAATGCTATTTTCCATCAACAACTGACAGTAGGCCCAAATAACCCAGTTATCACTGAAGTTACATTTCATGCACCCGAAGACAGTTATTACTTTATCACGGGCTACGCTGAAGCTGGACTTACTTACCAGTTCAATGCAACAGATAATGTATTCTTTTTGAATGAAACCGACTACATGAATAAATATACCGCGTGTCACTTCAGTGTAGGAGATAGCTGTTCATTTCAGGCCAGAAGCAATTATTTCGGATCAAGTACAGCAATGTGTTTAATTGCGCACATCAATAAACCCCCAGCTGAAGATCCCCCTTCAACCCACATCATAATCAATACAAAAAACAACTATGATGCCCTGGTCTTATTTCCTCCTTTCCTTGCTACCATCAGCTTTATCATTGTTGTCCTCTTACTCATTGTAGTGACTGCACCAACCACTAGTGCATACAAAAGAGTATTTGGGAGTGGTAGTGGTAGTGTTGTGAAAGAATAAGGCAATGTGTTGCTACATCTACTAGAGAGAGTTTTCCCCGTTCATGAATACATTTCTTATTGTAATCACTGTTAGTATACCCTGCAGTGTATAGCTACTCAGTGTTGCAAGATTATAAGATAAGAAGTAATAAACAATGAATCCATCTGGGACCAGTGGGAGTAGAATGGACATGACTGATTTTGGGTAGGACCAGCCTGCTGCCTGCGTGCCGCCCCCTATCGTCGTAGAGATACACGTGACCGCCGCACCAGGCTATAGGAAACTTCCGGTGGGCTGGCAGTCCCGTCGCTCAATTGCAAGATGGCTCGTATCACCGACGGGTCTTCTCCGGATAAAGTAGAGGAGCGGCTTATTATGAAACTGCACTACCCTGCTGGGTTGAAAAACGCCACAGAAAGAGTCTTAGACAACCTTCTGACGGATATAAAACAGGTGGATCATGTCTAGACTAGCTCGTAGCTATAATTATAGCCTCTTCGTGGAGTAGCTAATATTTAGCTATGACTACCCCCTGGCAGAGCCTCAGTGGATATATTTGTACGCTGCAAGCAGGATATACCACAGCTACACCTGATAGTCTATTAAAGTCTGCCGTTCAGTATGTGAGTGGAAGTGAAAAAGCCACAGCCTACTGCAAAACTGCTACACGTAAGGAGTAGTTAGTTCCAAAATCTTTCCACAAAACTTTGCACGATGGTGTACAAGTAAAAACTGTAACCAAGACCCTTGGAAATGAACACCTTTAACCTGCTTTCCATAACTATTGTCTAGAAAACTTGTATAGTGAGGGCACGTTTAAGGAGTATTATAATATATAAAAATTTTTCTCTTCATCCGGCGCGTGTGTTAGAAGAAACAAGCCGAAAACTGCTTTTCGCGTAAAGCTCGGATAAGAGCGAATATTTTTATACAACAGTTTATGACCAAGAACTACACTTTGGTATACACAGTAGCCAATCTAGTCCTGCACAGACTTCACAAATGCGTCCGAGAATACATGGCGTCTGATTATCGGTGGCTTACTCTATATAATATAATGACACATGCAATTTGTTTTCAGATTCTTCTCTGACGAACACTATCCTGGTGGACGTGCTTACAAACACGAAGGCCATACTACCTGATGAGCTCAGTTTGATTGAAAAAATTGTCCGGAAACATTTATTGCAGGATTCAGAGGACCAAGTAGTGATGTCAGTTATAATACTTTCTATGCGGAACTATGTAGCTACTATCCATGATTTCATAGATGTTGTGGTGCCGTAAACCAAGCACCAATATCAAATGCTCCAAAAGCCATAGGATCAACTCTTGGCTCATTTACTGTTAACATTTGGTATCCTCAGTGCTGTA